ACGTTGTTACGACTGAATCGACTTTTCAATTCTCTATCCAACGATGCCAAAACGAATTCTGTGGCTCGAATGGTTCTTGAGAAACTTCGAATAAAACCATTTAGTTATCTCTGGAATGATGTAAAAACGAGCGTTGTTGCTCATTTTGCTTCCGAGAAACATGCAAAACGGGACGGAAAATATGAAATTTTGCAATAATCTTGCGCCACCCTTGCACAAAACGACGATGATTTTTCTAATTTCATAAACAACAGAAGACTGTATTTTTTCTACATAACCCCCCCCCCCCTGACCTGATGGATAATATGCAGCGCCCATTTCCCCCAACACCGTTAAATCAAGCAACAAACCAAGAACAATCCCCAAATGCGCAAAACAAACCACCCTTTTCAGCTGTTGATCTACATCGAAGAATAACAAAGCAGCTAATAAAACCGTTATTACCGTGATCGCGAAGCGCGCCGCCCTGTAAACAAAGAACCCGGAAATTCCCGGCGGATAAAACATCGAAAACAAATAACTGATTGATTGCCCGTAATGCTGAAAGGCCCTCCCCTATAAAAGCCCTCATTTTCCTAATAGTGCATTAGAAATGGATTTTGCCGGGGCACATGCGTGAGCGCCTTAGTAAGGGCGGCCACGCTCCCTGTTTACTCCTTGAGAAAAAGCGGGGCCTCGAAGCCCCTTGGCTCCATGGAGCCAAGGGGCTTGAGGCCTCAGCAAGTGGAAACTAGGGGGGCTGCCCCTAAATCGCCGATTAACCAGGTTGACAGGGTTTAGGGGCTGTAAACCAGAGAGGCTTAAAAGCGCGCACTATTCCCCAGCTGTTTCCGCGCGGAAAATCCACCCTGGCGCGTTTTCCCATTTCCTTTTAGTATCACGCGAAAGTTTCCACGGGAACAACCCTTTCAGTGGCCAATGGGAACACAGCAGCGCTAGCTGGGGCACCATGAGGGGGCACCAGAGGTGACGCAACGCTCCAATCAGATGCATTTGATGGGCAACGACGCCGTTTTGTTTTCGGTGGTTCTGTTAAGCGCCTTGTCGATTCTGAGTGGACGCTGCAAGGTTTTACGTGAAGGTAAACCGATTTCTCCCTTACATCAGTGAATATAAATCAGTGTGCAGATTTCACTTCGACGATCTGTTCGCCTCCTCTGCTGGTCGTCAACGGGTCGGAGACGGTGAAGGGCGAATTCCGCATCCGAAGCCAGTTTTCCCATGTGAAGGAGGTGAAGTTTTCCGGCTCCATCGGCCCGCTGGGCGAGAAACGACTGTGCAAAATCAAGTGCATTGGGGGGAAATGGGTGGGCCCCCTATGTGTCGGCCAGCAAGGTACCCACTTCCCCCCAGTCTTTCCCATACAGTTGCTTGAAAATAAACCGGTTTCAGTGAACGGGCGATTCGAGTCGCTGCTCAAAAGCTGCAAGCTGCACTACATCAACCCCAACCAGGTGGTTACGTTCAAGAATGTCATCATCAATGTATGTACATACCTGGGGGGCCAAACAGCAACTCGGCAGGTCCATTGAAATGTTGCAGAACCCAGGGGTGGCATTTCCGCATGGGTCCCAGCTGCAGGTGCGCTGTAGGGAATTGGGGCTGTACAAGCTGCTGGGCACCGCCTCCCCACGCTGCCTCAACGGCGATTGGACCTCGCGTTTGCCCAGCTGCGTCCCCACCACGTTCCTGACCAACTTTACCGGTAAGTCGCTGGCGAGACCTAGGGGGCGTGGCCAACTGGGGCAATTTTAGAGGACGCGCCGCCCACCATTTTGATCAAAATCCCTTCGGGCTCTGCCAGCGTGGAACCGGCAGGATATCTGGCGGTTTTTCCCGGATCCACCATTCACTTTGAGTGTCTCTACCAGCGCAGAGTGGGCGCCCCTGAGTGGACCTGGACCCCCTCGGAGAAGTACCTTGCAGGTGGGGCCTACGGGGTTTCCCCTGTCTGTTTTGATTTACGTTGCCCTTGTAGGATGGGCGATCGCAGAGGAGGAAAAGGACTTGACGTACCGCCTTTCGATCTACTATGCAAAGGCGCAGGATTCCGGAACGTTCACATGCGCCACCCCTAGGGGCATCACCAACAGCGTGGTTCTACATGTGGTCTGTAAGTGTCGCGTTCCCGATTTGTCCTCCTGTGCAGGGCGCTTTTTGATGCCCTATAAAAGGGTTTAAATGTATTATGGACTTGAATCTGCCCAGACAAAGCGGCAATTTGAAATTCAAATACCTGGGCGCGCTTGCAACGGGGCGATGTTCTATTTTAATTTTTAAATTTGCCTTTAAAGCGAACGCGGGTAAATAAATTACGTGCGCATCGCG